CTGGAGCAGCAAACGTATCGATTGCCTCGGCTCATCCATCCATCTCACTGCTGCATTTTGATGACCACATAAAAAAGTTAGGAGTGAAACCTGAGCAGCGAACGGTGTGAAATGGACTGCTTCTGAGGATTCTTTGACGCGATCGCATTCGGCATGAACGTATCCGGATGCCAAAGAAAATTCGTATAGCTTTCATGCAGAGCGATTTCGGTTTTATTCTTGAAGTGTGTTCGGTTATATTTGAGTCGCTCATCACGCCACGATTCACGATAAAACAGCTCCAGTGCGTAGTCCTGTTCTTGTTTGATTCTGTTAGTTTTTCTACCAAAAACAAACTTCATTCATTGATATCAGCTTAGAATCTCTGAACTCTTACCAAAATTTCTCAAACGCGTTGGGTTTTTCGGTTCAATGAAAAACTGAGAAACCTATTTGACCTACTTGCTTATTTGACCTAGAGTATTGATTCACTGAATTCAATCAATCAAAGATGATCAGTTTTTTGTGATACAGTAGGGATCGCGAATGATGTGATTATCCAAGAGACTCCTTGATCAATGATTTTGGAAAGAATGTTGCTGCATAAGTCCTTCTGAAGCTATACCTACTCATCAAAATCAAATCCTGATGATTGACCATGAATACTTACCATTGTTACCTCAGAAACAGCCCGTATATTGCTGACAACGATCGAAACCGTTATGACGACCGCCTCTGAAAACTGATTTAGATTCACCCCTCATCAAAAAATGTCTAGTTGTTTTGCAGTGAAGGCTCGAAATAACTTTTCGTGATCAATTTTTACTTCCACAAACTTCTCGCTTTCGTCGCCATTCAAAATCACTTTAAGCTTCTTGAAGAGAATCCTTAGGAGGGTGTTCAACTTATGGTATCACTAGAAAAAGTATGCTTGATCACCCAAGCAAATCAATCAATCGAAGCGTTTGACTTGCATCAAGTTGCAACTGACCTCCGTCCTGGTTCTCTGGGAACTGCCGATGATCATACTTGATGCGTCGTAAAAATTGCAGAAAATCGCGTGTCTCACTGAAATCTTATTCGATGCAACAATACACATCATTTGACACGATGTTTCGTTCAGCAATATCACTACAAGTCAATTTTCAAGAATCATAATCTATTGATAAACTACTGCCTTGTTTGCATGCCACTAAGCAATTATCAGCAACACACTACACTATGGTTTGTTTGAGTGCAACAAACTAGCAATTCTTATTCAAAAATTGTGAACTGCCTTTTCAAGCGCACATATTTCATCAATATATCTGCACCACATCAGACTGTTGTTTTGAAACGTCTTCCGAACTCACAATCAGTTCCGTGCATACAAATTCTTTTGCAAGTCTCTTCGGAAAAAAAGCTTGCAAACAGCATCGTGATGATGCGAATCAGAGCATTTCAAAGTGTTGAAAAATTTAGAGTCCATTTGATGCGAAGCAACGTGTTAGTAGTGCTAGAGTGCATGGTCATGACCATTTGAACGTTGCGTTTCGAGCAGACATGGAAAGGAAAGTGATGTGAATTCGTGTTGGATTAATGGATTAGCGAAGCATGTGCAACAGAAAGTGAATATTCATATGATATACCCAAAACTTTCGCCGTGAACATGTCTGAAACCGCGTTCCCTCTGTAGATTATCGCTGAAAAAATTAGGTTTCAACTTTCCGTCTCAGCAATGACCTGTTCCGAGCTGTACAGATTTCGTCAAGTTGTCATCTTACGTGCATGCATTTTTGCAAATTGAATGCTATTCGTTTGAAGATCTAAATGAGCTGTAAGGCGTGAGATGATCACAAAGTGATGATCACTTGTAATCATCAGCTGAAGGATAGAATTCTCGAAGCCACTTCAAGAAGCTTGGAATCTACGAATTCATGCGCTAACGGAAAGCAGGTTGTGCCCACAGCGTATGTCACGAGTGCAACATTATCTACGGATTTGGCATTGAAATCGTAAGTGACCAACAATTGCTATTTAGAGCTATTCGGAGTGAATGAATGCGGATAAGTACTTACCTACACAGTTTATTTTTTACACCTCTGAAGAGGAATATCCCTTTTGTTTGA